GGTGCGGTTCGCCAGCACCTGTTCTCCACCATCGCTTCGGGCATGCCCGATCATGTACAAACTGACCACGCCTCTTTTCGTGAGTTGGCTGGTGCGAGTGCGGATTACGAGATGCTTGCACGCGCGGTCGAGCCTTGCGACCCGACGAAGGTGTCCTTGCCAGAAGGGCAGGTGTCGCCTGTAGTCTTGACTGAGTTTGTCTCTCCCGAGCTCGGCCGCAGCCCCGACCTCGACGACATCTTGGCCGATGCTGACGTGGCCGAGCACCGTCTTCGCCACGAGCACGTCGGGTCCTACACGGATGTCAGTATCAGAGGTGATGAAGATGTTCGTCTCAAGTTCCTCAGGAGGCCTGTATGATTGTGGGATATTGGGGTTCTGCAGGGCCTCGAAGGGCAAGATTACACCGTTCTCCGTGAAAAAGAAACAGGGCCGCCAGAGGCTCGTCCTGGACTGCGGAAGGGTCAACCAGATGTTCCGTCATCCCCCTAAGCCTGAGATGAGTTCGGCCGGGTGGGGGTTGTCGTTGACAGATGTCGGGGAGGTCTTCCCGTGCTTGCTCGCGCTGCCGGTGGGTTGGACCTGGTCTTTCTACATCGTTCAGGCTCTGCATGCCGAGTTGCTCCGTGAGGCTGGGTTCGGCCAGGACATGATAATGTCGAATGTTTGGCCTGCCCCTCCGTTGTCCGACGATCCAGTTGCCCTCCCCTACTGCGACAGGCTAGCTGTCTTCGGGATGTCCAGGGACCGCGTCGACCAGCGACTCCGCGAGCTCATCGGGGTGTTCGAGGGGAAGGGCTTCGTGCTTCACGAGATCTCCTGGGCCTCAACATCTGCGGATATCCTGGGTACCGCCTTCGACGGGCTGCGACGGACGGTCCGTGCGAGGCCCAAACGGGCCTGGACTCTTCGGGGAGCTCTTCGGCATGCCGCTCGAGGTGGTTCCATCGCTGGCAGGGCTCTGGAGCGCCTCCTGGGCCACTACGTCGTCGAGGGCCTCAACCAGCAGCCCGCGCTGTCGGTCCTGCGGGCCTCCTACGTCTTCATTCGGGACTTCTACTGGACCCCGAGGCCCCTGTGGGACTCCGTCTGCCGTGAGCTCCTGGTCTGCCCCAGCCTGGTTCCCTTGCTCTCAGGTAACTTTGGACGTCCATGGTCTACTTCTGCGCTGGCGACGGACGCCTCGTGGAGTGGAGGGGGCGTGATGGAGGCTGGCTTCGACAGTGAGGAGGTGGGGGAGATCGGGAGGTGGAACGAGCGCTGGAGGTGCGAGCGTCTGCCCCCGTCGGAGCGGGCGCCTCGTCGTCGCCTACTGGCGGCCGAGCTCGACCCCCTCGTCGACCCTGTGACGTCCGACGCGGGCCCCTGGGACCCCGACGAGTTCAGCGGGGCCCCCTCGGAGTTCGCCTGGCGGCCCCGAACTGGCTTCCCCGAGATTCCGAAGGCCGCGATCCTGGGGCGTTCCTGGAAGTGCTGGAGGGCTGGGAGGTACAGGCTTGAGGAGCCGATCGGTAACAAGGAAGGCAAGGCCGTCATCAAAGGTACGAGTCTCAAACTTCGGGACCCCTGCCAGCACCACAAGAGGCACCTCGTCCTTGTCGACAACTTCGGCGTAGCCCTTTGTTTCTCAAGGGGGCGCGCGGCCTCCCTCGGGCTCCTGCAGCTGGTCCGCCGCCTGGCTGCCTTCTCGATTGCGACGGGCGCATGGGTGGCGCTCCGCTTGATTCCGAGCGAATACAGCCCCGCCGACGAGTCGTCCCGCCTCGTTCGAGAAGCTCAGGGAGGCACGGGCGGCGCTGTATGAAGCGCCTGCGGCGGGAGCAGAGCTTGGCGGCCTGTCAAGCAGCCGCCGAGCCATCGACTTCCTGCGGAGCCGCTGGGGCCCGACAGGAGGGCGGGCGCGCGGGCCGCCCCGCCAGCGGCCCCGGCCGTCGGCAGGGCGCCACTCGGCGGAGGCCCGCCGCGGCCCCCGAGTCTTGGGCGGCGGGCGCAGGGCGGGGAGCTCGGCACTTGCGAGCTCGCGACGGTCGGCGCCAAGGGCTCGGCCGCCTACCAGCATTTCGAGAACCTGTTCCGCGAGCGGCAGCGGTGCCGAGGCAGGGCCACCGACGACCGCGACGAGATCGAGGTGAACCTGCCCGACTACCTGGGCGAGCTCCTAGCCGACAACGCGAAGCTCGCGCGCGCCGAGAAGACGGTGCACGGCCTGCTGTACAGCACGCTCCCAGGAAAAAGGTACGGGATTATCCTCGACCCCAACGGGCTTTCAAAGGATACCGAAAGCGACCCCCGCCTACCAGCAGGATGCCGCTGCCGATCGAGGTGAAGTCGGGCAACTGCGCCCTCCTGATCTACGACGGTGAGCGGTCCACGGCCCTCTACGCCTGGGGTGACGGAGGAAGCTGCGTTGCGGTGCTGGTCTCTGATTGTGGCGCCTGAGGAGCGGCGGCAGCCCCAAAAACCCAGACCTTCGACGACGCCGTCATCTTCGACCACCCCGAGTGGCTGGGCGAGGTGCTGGGTTCCTGGGCTGCGAGCGCGGCGGACGACCGCGAGCTCTTCCCGCTGGAGGCCTCGAGGGTCGCCCGCCTCTTCAAGGCCGCTGCCGACAGGTTGGGCGTCGAGGCGTCCCTGTACCAGCTGCGCCACGGCGGCGCCTCGGATGATCTCCTGAAGCGGCGCCGCACTTTGAGTGACATCCAGTCTCGTGCCAGAGTAAAGTGCATTGATACGGTTCGTCGCTATGCTAAGCCAGGCAAGACTCAGCAAGCTCTCAATCGGTTGAAGCCAGCTAGCCGCCAGTATTGTGAATGGGCTCACTGTAACTTGAAAGGCCGTTTCTGTGGTTCTGTCCGCCCGAGGCGG